AGGTAGTGAGCCCCTCTGGGCAGGGAGCCTGCGGTAGACAGTCAGGAGCCACAGGAAAGTTGCGGCCCCAGCCTGAGGGCAGCAGGGGCAGGACCCCAGTGGCAGCCACTACGGAGGGCCTGTCAGTTACCTCTGGGAGTTCCCTGCCAGCGGAATGTGGAGAGGCCACCGACCAGGGTGCTGAGGCTGGGACGGGGCAGCTGTGCTGGGGGCCCAAGCCGGTCAGCCTGGCCTGGCAAGGAGCAGCGGAGGCAGGGCCTACAGCCCATCCATCCTGTCCTCAGCATGATCCTAGCATAATTTCACCACGGGTTCTTTCCGCCCTCTGCATAAAGACAGACCAGGGCATGGCAGGAGAGAAAGAGTTTGATAGACACGAGGCCGGTCATGACACGTGGGAGATGGAGTTCATACTCAAACCATCCAAGGCTCACAGGTTAGGTTTTCAAAGGCAGTTTTGAGGAAGTAAAATCAAAGGCAACTTGGAAGGGGTGGGGGTCCGCAGGTTACAGATGCTTGCTACTGATTAGTTGGGGCAGAGGTGAAATCCTAGGCCTCCTGGGGGCTGATTCGCTCCTAAGTGGGGACACAGGAGCGGGGCTGTTGTTCCAGGTGCAGCCAAGGGTGTCAGACATGCAAAAAAAAAAAAAAAAAAAAAAAACTGGAAAGGTATCTCAAAAGACCAACTGGGGAAGCTGTTTATCTTCCAACCTCTGGAATGTCAGCGCCTTAGCAGGATTCCGGTTCTTCCCCCTGCCTCAGCCTGATGGGCTCCTATTAGCTTTACAAAAGCAGTCGAGTTCAGAGTAAAGCCTATGGTCATTTAAACTGTAGCCTAAATGTCTTCAAAAATTAGCTTGGCCCAACAGCCCAGGATTAATGGAGGGTGAGTTAGCTTAGCTTACTGTTCGCATTTTCCCACTGACAGACAGAACTTTCGCACAGGCGGCTTCACTAGCAGGGGGACAAAGGGCCTGGCCTTCCTTGTTGCTGGGGCTGTGGCAGCTGACACCAGGGTGCTCACGGGGCGTCCAGGGGTCCAAGGCCTGTGGGGTTCCACACGGGCTTGAATGCTGCTCTGCAGACACTCCAGGCTGCCTCCAGCTTGCTCTGGAAGCTCAGGGGGTCCGGGGGGCTCTTCTCTGCCCAGGATTGCAAAAGACTGTGTCAGAAGTGTGGGTCCCTGGCCGGGCATGGTGGCTCACGTCTGTAATCCCAGCACTTTAGGAGGCCACGGCGAGTGGATCACCTGAGGTCAGGAGTTCAAGACCAACATGGAGAAACTCCCTCTACTAAAAATACAAAAAAAAAATTAGCCGGGCATGGTGGCGAGCGCCTGTAATCTCCGCTACCTGGGAGACTGAGGCAGGAGAATCGCTTGAACCCGGGTAGCAGAGGCTGCTGTGAGCCGAGATCACACCAAAGGAAAAAAAAAAAAAAGAAATGTGGGAACCCCAGGGGCTCTCACTCTCACCCTTTCTCTGCATCAGGGAGCTTCCCCCCGCTCTGCTCCAATCCCAGGAGGGCAGCTGCCCAACCTCGCCTGTTCTCCAAGTCCCACCACAGCCCTGGTGAATCCCAGTGTGGGGTCCTGGTCTATGCCCTTGAAGACCGGGCAGTTACCCTGTTTCCTCTCCATGAGAGCAGCATACACTAGCTGTGTCCATCAGCCATCATGAACTGCAACCCACAGTTACATCTGTTAATAGTAAAATATTTTCATACTTTATTTATTTGTATATTTTATATTGATCATGGTAATATTTTATTTTTATATTGATTATATGTTAATGCTTTCTGTTGATTAATGTTAACATTTTGGGTATTAGAATTTAGGTATTTTGGGTTAGAATTTCAAGTTATTTTTGCTTTTTTTTTTTCGAGACTCTGTCTCACTCTGTCACCCAGGCTGGAGTGCAGTGGCGTGATCTCGGCTCACTGCAAGCTCCGCCTCCCGGGTTCATGCCATTCTCCCGCCTCAGCCTCTGGAGTAGCTGGGGCTACAGGCGCCTGCCACCACACCTGGCTAATTTTGTTTTTGTATTTTAGTTTCACCGCACCCGGCCTATCTTTGCTTTTTTAATGTGGCTACTAGAAATATTGAAATTACATACTTGGCCAGGCGCGGTGGCTCAGGCCTCTAATCCCAGCACTTTGGGAAGCTGAGGAGGGTGGGTTGCCAGAGGTCAGGAGTTTGAGACCAGCCTGGCCAACATGTTGAAACTAAAAAATACAAAAATTGCCGGGCGTGGTGGTGCATGCCTGTAATTCCAGCTATTCGGGAGGCTGAGTCAAAAGACTCCTTTGAGCCCATGAGGCAGAGGTTGCAATGAGCCAAGATTGCGCCACTGCATTCCAGCCTGAGCAAGGCTTGCTCTGGGCAAGAGCAAGACTGTCTCAAAAAAAAAAAAAAGAAAAAAAAGAAATTACATACTTGATTCTCATCGTATTTGTTTGAACAGCACCAGTTCTAGGCAGTATTTTTCAAAATCTTTTATTTTGAGACAGTCTCACTCTGTCGCCCAAGCTGTAGTACAGTGGTACAATCTTGGCTCAGTGCAACCTCTACCTCCTGGGTTTAAGCGATAATCCTGTCTCAGCCTCCTGAGTAGCTGGGATTACAGGCATGCACCACCATGCCCAACTAATTTATGTGATTTTAGTAGAGATGAATTTTCACCATGTTGGCCAGGCTGGTCTCCAGTGCTGGAATTACAGACGTAAGCCACCATGCCAGGCCAAAAATCTCCTCCTGTCTATTCCTTTGAGTCAACATTTCCACTTATTACACTTTTTTTTTTTTTTTGAGATGGATTCTAGCTCTGTCACCCAGGCTGGAGTGCAGTGGTGCAATCTCAGCTCGCTGCAGCTCAACCTTCACCTCCTGGGTTCAAGCAATTCTCTGCCTCAGCCTCCCGAGTAGCTGGGATTACAGGCGCTTGCCATCCTGCCAGACTAATTTTTGTATTTTTAGTACAGACGGGGTTTCACCATCTTAGCCAGGCTGGTCTTGCACTCCTGACCTCCTGATCCACCCACCTTGGTCTCCCAAAGTGCTGGGATTACAGGCGTGAGCCACTGCGCCCAGCCACACCATTTTTATAGCATTAATTTAACTTTCTTCCATGACACAGATACATGGACATTGTCATTTACTCAAGGAACTTCCTGTTATATCCTCAGGATCTCCTTTGTAAAAATTACATTGATCACTGACTTTCTGTGCAGTATGTGGCAAAACCCATGAGGATATTGGAGGAACAATCTACCTTCTCTCTTTTGCCAGACTGGACTCACAGTTATTCAGCTATAATGTAACAAATGAACTAGACAACTGAAACTTTAAATAAGGACACAAAATGAGAGAGTAAGTGTTTTGACAAAAGTCTCAGGTGAAATCAGGCCAGCTGCCTGCAGGCAGGGACCTTAATGGCAAGACACATCCTGAGTAAACAGGTGGAATGTCGTTGTGCTTCAAGCCATGCCGGGAAACAGAGGAGAAGCCGAGGACAGGAAAGAATGAGGGCATCTGTGGAATTTGCAATTTTACTCAGGATGTCAGGTTAAGTCTTGCTGAGAATGTGACTTTCAGTAAAGATCAGATACAAGTCTCTTAGAAGATGCCAGAGAAAATCTGTTTAAAGTAAACATGATGGCCAGGCACGCTGGCTCACGCCTGGAATCTCAGCACTTTGGGAGGCGGAGGCAGGAGGATGGCTTGAGCTCAGGAGTTTGAGACCAGCCTGGGCAACATGGTGAAACTCCATCTCTACTATAAATACAAAAATTACCCTGGTGCGGTGCTGCATGCCTGTATTCCCAGCTACTCGGGAGGCTGAGACAGGAGGATCACTTGAGGCCAGGAGTTCCAGACCACACCCGGCTATTTTTTTTTTTTTTTGAGATGAGTTTCATTTTTGTTGCCCAAGCTGGACTGCAATGGCACGATCTCAGCTCACTGCAACCTTCGCTTCTGGGTTCAAGCAATTCTCCTGCCTCAGCCTCCCAAGTAGCTGGGATTACAGGCACCTGCCACTGCACCCCAGTTAATTGTCTGTATCTTTAGTAGAGACGGGGTTTCACCACGTTGGCCAGGCCTGACCTCAGATGGTCCACCCACCCTGGCCTCCTAAAGTGCTGGGATTACAGGCATGAGCCACCACACTTGGCCATTTTCAATGTTTTCACCACAAAAAAAATGGTGTGTAAGGTAATGAATATGTTAATCAACCTGATTTAGCAATTCCACAATGTATACATATTTCCAAGTATCATGTACAGCATAAACATAGACAATTTTAATACATACAATATATGCAATTGTACATCATAAACATACACAATTTTTATTTGTCAATTTTTTTTTAAATGTAAGTTTTTAAAGTTATTTTGGCTAGGCACAGTGGCTCAGTCCTGTAATCTCAGCACTTTGGGAGGCTGAGGCAGGTGGATCACTTGAGATCAGGAGTTCAAGACCAGTTGGCCAACATGGTGAAACCCCGTGTCTACTAATAACAATTAGCCGGGCACAGTGGCACGTGCCTGTAATCCCAGCTACTCTGGAGGCTGACGCAGGAGAATCACTTGAACCCAGGAGGCGGAGATCGCAGTGGGCCAAGATCACACCACTGCACCCCAGCCTGGGCGACAGAGCGAGACTGTCTCAAAAAGAAATAATAATAATAATAATAATAAAGTTACTTTGTTAAGCTGGGCATAATGAGGTGCCTGTAGTCCCAGCTACTCGGAAGACTGAGGCAGGAGGATCACTTGAGCCCAGGAGTTCAAGTTCCGCCTGGGCAACAGAGCAAGTCCTCATCTCTATAACAAACAAACAAACAAAAAACAAAATAAAGTTTTTAAAAAAGCATTTGCTCACTGGCAATGCACATGGGGCTTTAAACGCATCCCACCTTCACACTCGGCAGAGCTTCACTCTCCCTTCATACAGAGGACACCTCCAGTGGACTGGCCCATCCCTTTTCTGTGGTGAAACTAGTTCAGCGAGGCACTAGGGATGTTTTCATGAGGAGTCTGGAGCTTGACGCAGGTGGCTGTTGATCGTTCTCCAAGCTGTGTCGGATCCCATATCCAAAATATACAGCAAATCCTAACAGGGAAATGAGACAATGACAGGAAATGTAGTCACCCCTTCCCTTATAAATGCCCTATAGCGATTATACTGTGGTCTGTTTATTTGGAGGTTTTCTTGTTTCTTTTATTTAGAGATAGAGCTTCGCTCTGTTGCCCAGGCTGGAGTGCAGTGGCATGATCATGGCTCACTGCAGCCTCGATCTCCCGGGTTCAAGCAATCCTCCCACTTCCACCTTCAGAATAGATAATGACTACAGGCGGGTGCCACTGTGCCCGGCTAATTTTTTTTTTTTTTTTTTTTTTTTGAGACAGAATCTTACTCTGTCACCCAGGCTGGAGTGCAGTGGCACAATCTGGGCTCCTGTCACCTGGGCTGGAGTGCAATGGCATGATCTTGACTCACTGCAACCTCCGCCTCCCAGGTTCAAGTGATTCTCATGTCTCAGCCTCCTAAGTAGGTGGGATTACAGGAACCTGCCACCACACCCGGCTACTTTTTTGTATTTTTAGTAGAGAGGAGGTTTCACCATGTTGGCCAGACTGTTCTTGAACTCCTGATCTTAGGTGATCCACCTGCCTCGGCCCCCTGAAGTGCAGGGATTATAGGCGCGAGCCACTGCGTGCGGCCAGTTTTTAATTTTGGTAGAGATGGAGTCTCGCCATGTTGCCCAGGCTGGTCTGGAGCTCCTGGTCTCAAGCAATGCTCCTGCCTTCATCTCCTGAGTGGCTGGGACTACAGGCACAGCCCACACTGTCAGCCTGAGACAGAGGTAGGGAAAGGTCGCGGGAAGAGTGTTGGACACCCAAGAGGCCTCTTTATTTCCAGGAAGCCACTCACCAATCAACATCCAGACTCCAAACTGGGCCCAGGTCTCAGTGGTCATCTGCATCATCAGATCAACATTCACAGAGATGCTGACCAACCGGAGGACAGGCAACAGGGGGACCTGCAGGCAAGGAGTTAACACTGAGCACACCACAAATGTCTGCAAGGGACCCTTAGCCCAAGGGGCAGGAAGACCACAGCTCTGTTCCAGTTGCATATTCAATGCCTATTCTTTTGTTTGTTTGTTTTTTTGTGTGTTTTTTTTTTTTGAGACAGAGTCTCGCTCTATCACCCAGGCTGGAGTGCAGTGGCATGATCTTGGCTGAATGCAATCTCCGCCTCCTGGGTTCAAGTGATTCTCCTGCTTCAGCCTCCTGAGTAGCTGGGATTACAGGCACGCACCACCATGCCTGGCTAATTTTTTTTTTTTTTTTTTTTTGAGACAGAGTCTCGCTCTGTCACCCAGGCTGGAGTGCAGTGGCGCGATCTCGGCTCACTGCAAGCTCCGCCTCCTGGGTTGACGCCATTCTCCTGCCTCAGACTCCCGAGTAGCTGGGACTACAGGCACCCGCCACCAGCCTGGCTAGTTTTTTTGTATTTTTATTAGAGACGGGGTTTCATCATGTTAGCCAAATGGTCTCAATCTCCTGACCTCGTGATCCGCCCGTCTCAGCCTCCCAAAGTGCTGGGATTACAGGCGTGAGCCACTGCGCCTGGCCTAATTTTTGTATTTTTAGTAGAACCGGGATTTCACCATGTTGGTCAGGCTGTTCCCGAACTCCTGGCCTCAAGCAATCCACCCGCCTCGGCCTCCCTAAGTGCTGGGATTACAAGTGTGAGCCACCTCACCTGGCTCAATGCCTGTTCCGAGTGGGTATCCCATTGGGTGTTCTGGAAGAAACAGGTTTTGGGAAGTACCGATAGGTGGGGGCTGGAGGGGATGTCCATGAACACTCCATTGGTTTTAGCAACTGCCCTTTTTTCCCCTGGTCCTGTAGAGTAGTTAGAGCTTGAGGCCTGCAGAGTCCACCGACTCAGGAGGGTGGTGTGGGGACATAAGGTCACCTACCTTGAAGTAGAGAGGAGTGTTGCTCTGGGGCTGTCTCCAGATGGTGAAAGTGAGTCCTGCAACGAGCACCAGCAGTAGCACAGCAGCTGTGACGTAGATCGGCTCTCCAGAAAACAGGCGTTTGGGCCAATGGGCCAGTACCAGGCAGAGCATGGTCAGCAGGACAACTGGAAAAGGGTCAAGGTTGGGGAGAGCAAGTTCAACTCCAGAAGCTAAATAAGTGAAGATCTTGGGCCACGTCCTATCTCCCAAACCACACATATATATGTGTATATGTGTGTGTGTGTGTGTGTGTGTGTGTGTGTGTGTGTGTGTGTGTGTGTCCCAGCCTCCCCAGTAAGGACTACAGGCACGTGCCAGCACAACCAAATAATGTTTATTTTTTTAGATGTATTTTCACTCTTGTTGCCCAGGATGGAGTGCAGTGGCACAATCTTGGCTCACTGCAACCTTTGCCTCCTGGGTTCAAGTGATTCTCCTGCCTCAGCCTCCCGAGTAGCTGGGATCACAGGTACCTGCCACCACGCCCAGCTAATTTTTGTGTTTTTAGTAGAGATGGGGTTTCGCCATGTTGGCCAGGCTGGTCTCAAACTCCTGACCTTGTGATCCGCGCTCCCCTCGGCCTCCCCAAGTGCTGGGATTACAGGTGTGAGCCACTGCGCCCAACCTAATTTTTTGTATTTTTAGTAGAGACAGGGCTTCACCATGTTGGCCAGGCTGGTCTCAACTCCTGACCTCAAGTGATCCACTCACCTCAGACTTCCAAAGCGAGCCACCACACCCAGCCTAAACTTTTTATTTCATATATGTATTTGTGTGTGCATATATGTGTGTGTGCATATATATATATATATATATATATATATATATATATATATATATATGGTTTTTTGTTTTTTTGAGACGGGATCTCACCCCATTGCCCAGACTACAGTGCAGTGGTGTGATCTTGACTCACTGAAGCCTCGACTGCCCAGGCTCAAGCAGTCGCTCCTCCGCAGCCTCCCAAAGTGCTAGGATTCCATGTGTAAGCCACCGTGCCCGGCCAAAAGTGCCCCTACTAAGAAGGGCCACCATAAATTCAAGACTCCTTTCAACTACCAAAGCCACACACTCCCTACCCGGCCCCCTGCCCCTTCCTATCAGGTTCAAAACACCCCGCAGAGAAACCCCACTGCTCACCAAGCAGAAAGGCACCTCCATAGACGGTGCGGCCAGATCTCGGGGTGGGGATGGCGCTGACAGGGCTCCACAGACTCGTCGGAGTGCTGGACGCTTCAGGAACACGTTCTGGGCATTTCGCTTTGGGTACAGAATTCATCTCAACTACTTCCTCCTTCGGCTTCTCATTCTTGCTGAAATTCTGGTCTGGCTGGTACCTGAATCAGAGAGAGGAGGGCAAGACTAACCCATGTCCCTGTTCATCCAACATCAGAGAGCCTAATACACCCACGGTAGCTCCCACGTATCCGAGTTTCATCTACCCGTGTCCACTACAGCCCAAAAATAATACATGGAAAAGTCCAGCAGTAATTCGTAAGTTTTCTTTTCTTTTTTATTCACTCTGTCACCCAGGCTGGAGTGCAGTGGCACAATCTCGGCTCCCTGCAACCACCTCCGCCTCCCAGGTTCAAGCAATCTCCTGCCTCAGCCTCCTGAGTAGCTGGGATTACAGGAGACCACCACCACGCCCAGCTAATTTTTGTATTTTTAGTAGATACCAGGTTTCACCATGTTGGCCAAGCTGGTCTCAAACTCCTGACTTCAAATGAGCCACCTGTCTCGGCCTCCCAAAGTTCAGGGATTACAGGCGTGAGCCATCGCGCCCCACCGTAATTCGTAAGTTTTCAATTGTGTGCAGCTTCAAGTAGCAGCATTCCACGCTCCCCACGCCCAGGATGTAAATCATCCTTTTGTCCAGTGTGTCCCTGCTGTGAACGCTACCGGCCGTGTTAAATCACTTTAGACATCTGAGTTATGGATGGGAAAATGATCATATATAGGGACTGGTACTATCCGCGGTTTCGGGCACGGGCTGAGGGTCTTGGAACGTGTCCTCCGTGGATAAGCAGGGGCTACTGTACTCCTCCCACTCCTGTATGTGTAGCAGTGCACCGAGGGCCAGGAGGCAGGCAGAGGAGGGCTGGGAACCCCATCAATCTTCACGTGTCTAGGACCCCAGTCTCACCTGAGGACAAGAACAGAAAAGGCCACCAAGGAGTAAGCAAGCATAGTCCCGATGGACGAGAGGTTCACAAGGTCACTGAGCTCAAACAGGAAAGCCATGATTGCTACAGTCAGGGCACAAAACCCGGTAAGTTCCAATGTTCTACAGCATTAGAGGGTGACTGTCATTAACAACTTATAAGAGCTGGAAAAGCACTTTGGGAGGCTGAGGCAGGCAGATCACCTGAGGTCAGGAGTTCAAGACCATCCTGGCCAACATGGTGAAACCTCATCTCTAATACAGAAATTAGCCGGGCGTGGTAGCACGTGCCTGTAATCCCAGCTACTCCAGAGGCTCAGGCAGGAGAATTGCGTGGACCTGGGAGACGGAGGTTGCAGTGAGCTGAGATCGTGCCACTGCACTACAGCCTGGGCTACAGAGCGAGATTCTGTCTCCAAAAAAATAGGTTTTCAGTGTTCCCAATGCAAGGAAATAATCAATGTTTGAAGTGATGGTTGTGGTATTACCTTGATTTGATTATTACATCTTGTATACATGTATGGAAATATCATACTGTACCCCATGAATATGTACAATTATTGTGTTAATCAATACTAGGAATGTGGCCAGGTGCGGGGGCTCATGCCTGTAATCTCAGCACTTAGGGAGGCCCAGGCGGGGGGACTGCTTGAGCCCAGAGCTTCCACATCAGCCTGGGCAACATAGTGAGACCCCCACCTCTACAAAATTTAAATATTAGCTGAGTGTGGTGCCACTGTACACTGGCATGGGTGAGAGTGAGATCTTGTCTCAACAACAGCAAAAGTTAGATTATGTACATTTTCCTTAAATTTTTTTTTCTTTCTTTTTTTTTTTTTTTGAGACGGAGTCTCGCTCTGTTGCCCAGGCTGGAGTGCAGTGGCCAGATCTCAGCTCACTGCAAGCTCCACCTCCTGGGTTCATGCCATTCTCCTGCCTCAGCCTCCTGAGTAGCTGGGACTACAGGTGCCCGCCACCTCGCCCGGCTAGTTTTTTTTTGTATTTTTTAGTAGAGACGGAGTTTCACCGTGTTTGCCAGGATGGTCTCGATCTCCTGACCTCATGATCCACCTGTCTTGGCCTCCCAAAGTGCTGGGATTACAGGCGTGAGCCACCGCGCCTGGCCCTTTCTTTTCTTTAAAAACAGGAATCATCGTACCTCACTGCAGCCCTAACCTGCTGCGCTCAAGCCATCCTCCCACCTCAGCCTCCCGAGTAGCTGGGACTACAGGTGTACCACCACACCCAGCTAATTTTTTGTTTGTTTGTTTGAGATGGAGTCTCGCTCTGTTGCCCAGGCTGGAGTGCAGTGGCATGATCTCAGCTCACAGCAAGCTCCGCCTCCCACAGCCAGCTAATGGTTAAAAGTTTTTTTGCAGAGACAAAAAAATGATCTCAGGGTCTGGCTCTGTTGCCCAGGCTGGTCTCAAACTCCTGGGCTCAAGTGATTCTGCCTTGGCCTCCCAAAGTACGGGCGTTACAGGCATCAGCCACTGCACCCTGCCTTTATTTTATTTTATTTTTTATTTTATTTTATCTTATCTTATTTTATTTTATTTTATTTTATTTTATTTTATTTTGAGACAGGGTCTTGCTTTGTCACCCAGGCTGGAGTGCAGTGGCGTGACCTCGGCTCACTGCAGCCTCAACCTCCTGGGCTCAAGCGATCCTCCCACCTCAGCCTCCCAAAGTGCTGGGATTATAAGCATGAGCCACTGAGCCCAGTCCCATTTTCCTGTTAAACTTTTTATTAAATAAACTTTTGTAATAGACAAAAATTTTTTTTTAATTAATGAATAATAATAAAAGTGAAAATGGATGGGCTGTAGGAGAGGATGAGGAACTAACGCATAGAAAACGGATGAAAGAAAGCCTGAATTCTGGGCCTTTACCTGCAACGGTCCCGGAAACAACAGTGGCCACCACAGGGGTGCTGGTGCGGGTGTGGATCTGGGCGAGTCCACGGAAAAGGAGCCCGTCCTCGGCCATCGAGTAGAGCACGCGAGGCACGGGGAACATGACACCCAGGAGGCTGCATGCAGGAGAAAATGGGAACACGCATGGGGACTCAGGAAGCAAGAGGGACTGGGGCTTCCGCTCCATCACCTCTGTGGGTGAAGCGTCTCCTCCCTTTACACAAGGCCCAGGACACCCGAGAACCAGACAGCAGACGGGGAGAGAGCGTCCAGCATTGACCTGGAGGACAGGGCACAGAGGGTGCCGACGGCCACAGCATATCTGATGGGGGCCCATCCAATGTGGACAAAAGCCTCCGGCAAGGGGTTCTCGGGACATATCAGGTAGTAGGGCACCATGAGGGTGAGCGCCGCTGAGACACCAAAATAGGCCAAGAAGCAGATGAAGATCGAGGTCACGATGCCCAAGGGGATGGAGCGGTGAGGGTGGAGGGCTTCTTCTCCTGCAGGACAGGGCCAGGAAAACGCACAGAAGCGAGGGTGCGAAACCCTCTTCCCTGTTCCCCATCCGAGAGAAGGGTAGCCTTTAATGAAACCTGTGCCCAGCGGCAGCCCAAACTGTGCCCAACCCCCGATGAGACAGAACGACCGTGTTACCTGTGGTGGCGATGCCATCAAAACCCACAAACGCAAAGAAACACGTAGCTGCTCCATGGAGAATCCCGCCAAAGCCAAAAGGCACAAACCCGCCAGAGCCCAGTGAGCCCAAGCTGCGGGAAGAGAAGGAACAAGAAACATTGGTAAGGTGTGCAGCTGTCTTTCTGGGACGACTCAGTTAACTCCAACTGCTCAGTTAATTCCACAAGCCCTGGACCTCCACTGCCTTCCCCACGCCCCGTCATCCGGCTCCGTCAGCCCAGATTCCCCCTGTTCCCACAATAGTCCAGGTTCTGCACCCCAGCCCCCACTCCTGTGTCCAAGAGGGCACCTCTGGCCAGTTGCAATGGCTCACGCCTATAATCCCAGCACTTTGGGAGGCTGAGTCAGGTGGATCTTGAGCCCAGAGGCTGAGACCAGCCTGGGCAACATGGCAAAACCCCATCTCTACAAAAAATTAAAAACTTAGCTAGGTGCGGTGGTGCACACCTATAGTCCTAGCTACTCTAGATGATCGCTTGAGCCTGGGAGGCAGAGGCTGCAGTGAGCCATGATCATGCTAAAGCACTCCAGCCTGAGGGACAGAGCAAGACCCTGTTTCAAAAAATAAAAATAAATTTTAGGCTAGGAGCAGTGAGTGGTTCACACCTGTAATCCCAGCACTTTGAGAGGCTAAGGTGGGCAGATCACCTGAGGTCAGGAGTTTGAGACCAGCCTGGCCAACATGGCGAAACCCCATCTCTACTAAAAAAAAAAACAAAAAAACCAAAAAAAACAAATTGGCCAGGTGTGGTGGCAGGCACCTGTAATCCCAGATACTCAGGAGGCTGAAGCAGGAGAATTGCTTGAACCCGGGAGGTAGAGGTTGCAGTGAGCCAAGATTGTGCCACTGAACTTTAGCCTGGGCAACAGAGCGAGACTCTGTCTCAAAAAATAAAAATAAAAATAAATTTTAAAATAAAAAAACAGGCCAGGCACAGTGGCTCACACCTGAAATCCTAGCACTTTGGGAGGCAGAGGTGGGCAGATCACTTGAGGTCAGAAGTTCGAGACCAGCCTGGCCAACATGGTAAAACCCCATCTCTTATTAAAAATACAAAAATTAGCCGAGCGTAGTGGCAAGCGCCTGTAATCCTAGCTACTCGGAGGCTGAGGCAGGAGAATTGCTTGAACCCGGGAGGCAGAGGTTGCAGTGAGCCGAGATCGTGCCACTGCACTCCAGCCTGGGTGATAAGAGCGAGACTCCATTTTAAAAAAATAAATAAAATAATAAAATTTAAAAAAAATTTTTTTTTTTTTTTGAGATGGAGTCTCACTCTGGCAGTGGTGCGACCTCGGCTCACTGCAACCTCTGCCCCCCAGTTAAAGCAATTCTCCTGCCTCAGCCTCCCAAGTAGCTGGGACTACAGGCATGTCTCAAATAAATAAATAAATAAATAAATAAGTATAAAATAAATAAATATAAAATAAATATAAATAAATAAATATAAGTAAATATAAATTAAAATAAAAATTAAAAAAATAATTAAAAAAAAAACACACACAGTGTGCCCTCACCGGTGGGTGTCGTTGGACCCCAGCCCGGCCCGTTTGTAGTCGGCGTCTGTGAGCTGCCAGTCGTGCAGATCTCCCTTGATGAAGCCAGAGACGACGACGCAGCTCAGAACCAAGAGGTTCACACCTGTGAAGACTTTGGAAACCCAGGCTGACTCCCGAGCTCCCAGAGCCAGCACTCCTGTAGCGAACATGGAACATCCGGAATAAGTAAGCTCACGGAGACAGAAGGCAGATCCGTGGTCGCCAGGGGCCAAAGGGAATGAGGAACGACTGCCTAAGGGGTGCAGGGTTTCCCGTAGGGGTGACGAAAACCTTTCCCAACTAGGTGGAAGTAGCGGCTGCACAATGTTATGAATGTACTAAATCCCACTGAACTGCAGGTTTCAAAATGATTCATTTCAGGCCGGGCGCGGTGGCTCACACCTGTCATCCCAGCACTTTGGGAGGCCGAGGCGGGCGGATCCCGAGGTCAGGAGATCGAGACCATCCTGGCTAACACGGTGAAACCCCGTCTCTACTAAAAATACAAAAAATTAGCTGGGCTTGGTGGCGCGCACCTGTTGTCCCAGCTACTCAGGAGGCTGAGGCACGAGAATCACTTGAACCCAGGAGGTGGAGGTTGCAGTGAGCTGAGACTGCACCACTGCACTCCAGCCTGGGCAACAGAGCAAGACTCAGTCTCGGGAAAAAAAAAAAAACTAAACTAAAAACTAAACTAAAAATTAAAAATGAAATAAAATGATTGATTTTAGTGTGGAGTCCCAGCTACCTGGGAGGCTGAGATGGGAGGATCACTTGAGCTCACTTGAGCCCAGGAGTCCGAGGCTGCAGTGAGCCATGATTGTGTCAGTGCATTTCAACCTGGGAAACAGAGAGACTCTGCCTTAAAAAAAAAAAAAAAAAACTGTTCTAAGTAGAGAGGAAGAAACTTCTCTAAGTCAGTGGTTCTCAGCTTCTGATTGTCCTAATTTGGGGCTGGGTACCCCTGGCATCCCATGGGTAGAGGTCAGGGATGCTGCTCAATGCCCTGTAATGCACAGGGTGGCCCCCGTGACAAAGAATCACGTGCCCCAGGATGTTAATGCCAACGTGTGGAAACAGTGGTCCCAGTCTTACCTGCCTGTGATTCCCAACATAGGTTCTTCCTTCTGGTTTTCTAATACCCACCACCATTGCCTCCTCCCCCAAGCCTTTCCCACCCCCTTCCTCCTCCATGCCCCCTCACCCCATCTATCTCTGACCCCCGCCTCACCAGTGAGGACCAACACCAGGCCCAGCGCAAAAAAGTCTGGATACTTGGCCAGAACTTGAGGCACGTGCAGAGAAATGCCCTGCAGGGCAGGGGAGATGCGATTCCCGATCAGGCTGTCAAATGCAAAACTCCAGGCCTTGGCCACGCTGGCGGCACCTGCAGCGGCAGAAGGAGGAATGTGCATTTATGAACATGTGCTGAACCCTGACCATGTGCCATGCGCGATCTCGGCTCACTGCAACCTCCACCTCCCGGGTTCAAGTGATTCTCCTGCCTCAGCCTCCCAAGTAGCTGGGATTACAGGCACTTGCCACCACGCCCAACTAATTTTTGTATTTTTAGTACAGATGGGGTTTCATCATGTTGGCCACTCTGGTCTCGAACTCCTGACCTCAAGTAATCCACCCACTTCGGCCTCCCAAAGTGCTGCAATTACAGACGTGAGTCACTGCGCCCAGCCAGGGATAAATCATTTTTAAAAGAAAAAGGGAAAAGAAAAATACCTAATCTCAAAAAAAGTCTTTTGTTGGGATGGGGAGGAGTAGCAGAAAAAGAAAAAGAAGAATAAAATAGGCCAAGCGTGCTGGCTCATGCCTGTGAGAGGCCAAGGCAGACGGATCACCTGAGGTCAGGATTTCGAGACCAACCTGGCCAACATGGCAAAACCCCGCCTCTACTAAAAATACAAAAATTAGCTGGGCTTAGTGGTGCATGCCTGTAATCCCAGCTACTTGAAAGGCTGAGGCAGGAGAATCGCTTGAACCTGGGAGGTGGGGGTTGCAGTGAGCTGAGATCACGCCACTGCACTCTAGCCCGAGTGACAGAGTAAGCCTCCGTCTCAAAAAAAAAAAAAAAAAAAAAAATGGTGGGGGAATGAGTTTGTGGCACGCATCTCCCCCAAATCTACAAGAACCCTATCCCGTACATCCCACAGTTCCCATCTCCTCTTATTGTTCAATCCCGGAAGGGAAGCAGAATGAGACTGCGTAAAGGGCATCTGGGCCTTTTCCTGCCACCATTAGCCACCCTCCCTCCCACAAGGTGGATAAACAAAGCGAGTCTGAAGGCCACCATGGCTCCCCCAGCGCCCCCCTCCCTATGCAGATCCTAATTCCTTTGTGTTTCCCACACCTCCCTCCGTGCCCCATCATCTCACCGATGACGTAGGAGAGTAAGAGGTTCCAGCCAGTAATGAAAACCACCAGTTGACCCACTGTGACGTAAGTGTAGAGATAGGTGGAACCGGAGCATGGCACCCGGGCCCCAAACTCCGCATAGCAGAGTCCAGACAACATAGAAGTCAGGGCCGCCACCAAGAAGCAGATGACGATGGCCGGTCCAGCTTTCTCTTTGGCCACTTCTCCGGCTAGGACATACACGCCGGCTCCCAGGGTGCTGCCCACACCCAAGGCCACCAGATCCAGGGTCTTCAGACAACGAGACAAGCGATGCTCAGAGACCCCCTGGCCCAGCTGCAGGGGCCGGCTACGCATCAGCTTCCCACCAAATTGGCGAATATTCTGCCAGACCATCTGAGATGGAGTTGAGGAGGGCGCTAAGATCTGCAGAGAACACAAGACAGAAGGCCACTCAGAGAGAAAGCCACGAAGACTATTTGTACCACTTTGGCCCTGGGAATCAGGTTTAGAACCAGCTCCTCTGAACAGTGCAGTTCTGGGAAGAGCAGGTAGTGAAAAACATTCTGGGCAAATCATCCATCTCTGAACCTCGCGGCCTTCAAATGTAAACAGGAACTTTAATACTTTTCAAAGTTACATGGCTGGGCGGGATGGCTCATGCCTGTAAATCCCAGCACTTTGGGAGCCCGAGGTGGGAGGATTGCTTGAGCCAAGGAGTTCGACACCAGCCTGGGCAACATAGTGAGACCCCCATCTCAAGGAAAAAAAAAAAACTAAAAGTTACTGGAAGAGTTTCTTCTTTAAAGAGATGCAAACAAAAGCTTCCAGTATGGTGCCAGCACACAAGACATAGGAGCTGTGTAATTGATATAATTGGAGTTAATTGGCCGGGCGCAGTAGCTCACGCCTGTAATCTCAGCACTTTGGGAGGCTGAGGCGAGTGGATCACTTGAGGTCAGGAGTTTGAGAACAGCCTGACCAACATGGTGAAACTCCGTCTCTACTAAAAATACAAAAATTAGCCAGGCGCAGTGGCACGCAACTGTAATTCCAGCTACTCAGGAGGCTGAGACAGGAGAATTGCTTGAACCCGGGAGGCGGAGGTTGTGGTGAGCCGAGACCATGCCACCGCACTTCAGCCTGGGTGACAGAGTGAGATTCCGCCTCAAAAAAAGAAAAAAAAAAAAAAAGAGAGAGGAGACGGGGTGAGGGAAGGGAAGGGGAGAAAGGGAGTGAGCGAGAGAGAGAAAGAGAGAAAGAGAAAGAAAGAAAGAAAGAAAGAAAGAAAGAAAGAAAGAAAGAAAGAAAGAAAGAAAGAAAGAAAGAGAGAGAAAAGGAAAGGAAGAAAGAAAGAAAAGCAAGCCACAAGAAGACAAATACTGTATGATTCTACTTGCATGAGGAATCTGGAGTAGTGAAACTCAGAGACACAAAGCTGGCTACCAAGGGCTGGCGTAGAGGGATGGAACAGAGGGATGTTTAATGGACATAGTTTTCAGTTTTGCAACATGAAAAACTTCTGGATTTTGCTGCAAACTTAAAACTGCTCTGAAAACAGTTGCAGACTGGGTGTAGCGACTCATGCCAGTAATCCCAGCACTGTGGGAGGCTGAGGTGGGTGGATCACTTGAGATCAGGAGTTTGATACCAGCCTGAGCAACGTAGTGAGACCCTGTCTCTACAAAAATAAGTAATTTTTTAAATTAGCCGGGCGTGGTGGTGCATGCCTGTAGTTCCAGCGACTGGGGAGGCTGAGGCAAGAGGATTTCTTGAACCAAGGGGGTGGAGGCCGCATTGGGTAGTGATAGCACCACTGCATTCCAGCATAGGCAGCAGGGCAAGGCCTTCTCTCAGAAAATAAATGAACAAAGAAAATACAAAGTCAGGCCGGGCGCGGTGGCTCAAGCCTGTAATCCCAGCACTTTGGGAGGCCGAGACGGGTGGATCACGAGGTCAGGAGATCCAGACCATCCTGGATAACACGGTGAAACCTCGTCTCTACTAAGAAATACAAAAAACTAGCCAGGCGAGGTGGCGGGCGCCTGTAGTCCCAGCTACTCGGGAGGCTGAGGCCGGAGAATGGCGTGAACCCGGGAGGCGGAGCTTGCAGTGAGCTGAGATCCGGCCACTGCACTCCAGCCTGGGCTACAGAGCGAGACTCCGTCTCAAAAAAAAAAAAAAAGAAAATACAAAGTCAAAATGGCTAAGCCAGGCACAGTGATGACCCTGCACTCCCGGCTATTCAGGAGCCTGAGGTGGGAGGATGGATAGGGCCCAGGAGTTTGTGGTCAGCTTAGGCAAGACCTTATCTCAAATAAATAAATAAATAAATAAATAAATAAATAAATAAAAATAAAATAATCAAATAAAATAAAAAATAAAGAAAAAATGGAAAAGGTGGTAAATTTTTTTTTTTTAGACGGAGTCTCCTCTGTTGCCCAGGCCGGAGTGCAGTAGCACAGTCTCGGGTCACTGCAACCTCCGCGTCCTGGGTTCAAGCAACTCTCCTGCCTCCCGATTATTTTTATATTATGTATTTTCTACCACAATTTTTTAAATGCTGCCGATAATACAGCCGGCCTCAGAGAATTTCTGGGTGGTCGTACAGAAATCACCGATGGAAGGCTGAAAGCACTCTCGCATCCCGCAGAGCCCCTGCGTAAGGCTGAACCCAGGAAACGGGTCTCAAGTCTCTGGACACGCATGCAAGCCCAGCGCAATCCCTGCTCACATCCACAGCTCCAAGCTCCTTGGATTCTCATCTGAAAAGTGGGTATCTCCGCAGTCCGCCCAGGGGGCCAGGCTGATGCAACAGCGCGCGCGCATTGCAGAGGCCTCCTTCCGGGACCCCGAACCGTACGGCCCGCGGTCGACAGAGGAGGGGGACACCCAAGACTTTTACCAGACTACTTGCGACGACCGAGGAGCCCTGGATCCGAGGCAACGAGGCTCACTGCAAGCAGACGTGAGCTGGAGCTGCGGGATCTTTAAAATGGCAGCGGGAAACGCTGAGACCCTATGAAGTCCTGCGCCGGCAGGGTGGGACTGACAGGGCCGGCCGGGTGGGCGTATCTGTAGTGATGCAATCAGGCGTTACTTTTTTTTTTTTTTTTTTTGGGGGGTAGGGGGAGACAGGGTCTCTCTGTCGGCCAGGCTGGGGATGCAGTGGTACAAACACGGTTCATTGCAACCTCTACCTTCTGGGCTCAAGCTATCCTCCCACCTCACCACCTCAGCCTCTGGGACCACAGGTGCGCCCACACGCACAGATAATTTTTTTACTTTTTGTAGAGATGGGGGGTCTTCATATGTTGCCCAGGCTGATCTCAAACTTTCTGGCCACCAGCAATCCTCCCGCCTTGGCCTCCCAAAGTGATGGCATTACAAGCGTGAGCCACCATGCCCCGCTGACTTTGACGTTTCTGTAGTTCCCAGCAAGGGGTGATTCTAAGATGTTTGTTTATTTATTTTTACTATTATTATTATTATTATTTTTTTTTTTTTTTTTTTTTTTTTTTTTTTTTTTGAGAGGGAGTCTGGCTCTGTCGCCCAGGCTGGAGTGCAGTGGCCGGATCTCAGCTCACTGCAAGCTCTGCCTCCCGGGTTTACGCCACATTCTCCTGCCTCAGCCTCCCGAGTAGCTGGGACTACAGGCGCCCGCCACCTCGCCCGGCTAGTTTTTTTTTGTATTTTTTAGTAGAGATGGGGTTTCACCGTGTTAGCCAGGATGGTCTTGATCTCCTGACCTCGTGATCCGCCCGTCTCGGCCTCCCAAAGTGCTGGGATTACAGGCTTGAGCCACCGCGCCCGGCTATTATTTTATTTTTTGAGACAGAGTTTCACTCTTGTCGCCCAGGCTGGGATGCGGTGACACAATCTCAGCCTCCAGGTTCAAGCGATTCTCCTGCCTCAGCCTCCCAGGTATCTTTGATTATAGGCACCCACCACCACACCCAGCTAATTTTTGTATTTTCAGTAGAGACGGGGTTTCACCATGTTGGTCAGGCTGGTCTCAAACTTCTGACCTCAGGTGATACACCTGCCTCAGCCTCCCAAAGTGCTGGGATTACAGGCATGAGCCACCACGCCTGGCCATTTTAACCATTTTTACATGTAGTGTTTGGTGGCATTAAGTACATTCACATTGTTGTACGACCATCACCACCATCCACCTCCCAGGCTGGTTTCATCTGGCAAAACTGAAACTCTACTCACTGACTCCCTTTTCTCCTCTCCCTGCAGTCCCTGGCAACCACCGTTCAACTTTCTGTCTGTATGAATTCGACAACTCTAGGCTTTTCATATAAGTAGAATCATACAATATTTGTGACTGGATTGTTTCACTTAGCGTGATGCCCTCAGAGTTCATCCGTGTGGTGGCATGTGTCAGAACTGCCTTCCCTTTTAAGGCTGAATTATATTCCATTGTCTGTACATGCCACGTTTTCCTTATCAGTTCACCCACGGATGGACGTCTGGGTTGTCTTCACTTTAGGACCATTAAATAATGCTGCTATCAACATGAGTATCCAAGTATCTTTCAATGCCCTGCTTTCTTTTTTTTTTTTTTGAGATGGAGTCTCACTCTGTCGCCCAGGCTGGAGTGCAGTAGCTGATCTCGGCTCACTGCAACCTCTGCCTCCCGGGTTCACACCAGTCTCCTGCCTCAGCCTCCCGAGTAGCTGGGACTACAGGCACCCGCCACCACACCCGGCTAATTTTTCGTACTTTTAGTAGAGACGGGGTTTCACCATATTATCCAGGATGGTCTCAATCTCCTGACCTCACGATCCACCGCCTCAGCCTCCCAAAGTGCTGGGATTACAGGCGTGAGCCACCACACCCGGCCTTCAATGCCCTGCTTTCTCGGTATATACCGAGAAGTGGCATTGCTGTGTCATACAGTTTTAAGATTTTTTTAAGTGTTTGACTCCATTGATCATTAAGGACCCTATGAAGTAGAGGTTGATCCCATAACATGGGATCCCACTCACACTCCTACTCTCTCTTAGTCTTACCCACATCAGCTTTCCACAGTCTACCCAGACACTCAAGTGTCAGGGACCCCCAAACCAAGCTAGTCACAAACTGGAAGAGGGGGAGCTAACGATTGCTGATATTTGTAAATTCACACAAGAAAAACATGTAACAGGCTGGGAGTGGCAGCTCATGCCTATAATCCCAGCACTTTGGGAAGCCAAGGCATGCAGATCACTTGAAGTCAGAAGTTGGAGGCCAGCATGGCCAACACGGTGAAACCCTATCTCTACTAAAAAAAAAGAAAAAAAATTAGGTGGGCATGGTGGCAGGCACCTGTAATCACAGCTGTTCCGGAGACTGAGGCAGGAGAATTGCTTGAACCTGGGAGGTGGAGGCTGCAGTGAGCCAAGATTTTACCATTGCACTCCAGCCTGGATGACAGAGCAAGACTCCATCTCAAAGAAAAAAAAAAAGCATTTAGTAAGCATCCTACACACATGTAGCCCTGTGCATAAGGACCTTAGAAGATAAAGGTGAGTGAAACTTGGTCCCATCTTACAAGAAGCTCTGTTTGCCAAGAGAGCTGAGCATGCAGGCAGAGAGGTGCAACATAGGTA